CTGGAGGGCCTTGCCATGAAACCCGACTCCCTCACCGTGTGTTGCCCTGCAGAGCGGGGAAAGACACCGTCAGATCTCCAACACAAACACTGGGTCCCCAGCCTGACAGGGAAAAGGCTACAGTCACTGTATCTGTAATATATAACTCTAAGCAGGCAAGTTTTTACAACCTTCATGTCCTCCGGTTCTCGATGCTCCTCGATCATTTCCTCATCCTCCCCTTCCGATGCCTTCCAGCTGCACGGTTCAGGCCAATCGCCTCCTTCCGAGCGCAGGCGCTCGTCATCCATCATCTTCGCGTGTCCTGGATGACGCAAACCACAGAGCCATCAAACAGCGTACTGTTACGGAGCTTTTACGGGAGATCGTCTCACCGTAGCTTCAATCTGATCAAAAGACGTGTTTCAATGGCCATTAAAACGATGATTAAAAAGCAGCTGAATCGGTTGATCCATGGCTTGATAATTAGGCTTGGGCGGTTATGGAGGTATACCAGGGTATATTCGGAAATACCGTCTCGGTATGATTTTCCAATACCGTGACTCACAGACCGTGCGCCAAATCACAAGATGCGTTTTCATTCGTATTTTACACTGACACGGGAGTTTTGACAGGGACGACATTGGTTGTAATGCACAGCACGCGCCGAGGCAGAGGGCGGGGAGGGGCAGTCCGTCCTTTCCCGCTCTCAGAGCTCCAGCACAGAGCTGAGCTGAGCAAGGATGGCGGCAAGTTTACGTGCTAAAACATTCACGCGGGAGTAATCCAATGAATCAAATGGAAATAAGGTTTTGTAACACATGCACGGATTAATATTGCCAAACTAGTTAGTGGGAATATAGCAAACCTTTATGTCAATAGAAGTCAAAGTATTTACTCCCGGGAAAATGTTTATGTATGATGATATATTGTTACTTAGCTCACTATGGAAAACAACGTCGAACATCTACAAACGCGTCCTGTATTCCGATCTCAAAAATGTGCCATTTGCCCACAATGTGTCATGTATGCAGGCCCTTGTTTTTTGCACATTGCGCCGCATGTGTCGCGGCACTTTGCGAGCGTCTACCGGCTCGGGCTGCAATTTCTTTACAGCCGAACATATAATATACCGTTCGAAACATCTATTTGCCCTGCCGAACGCCCACCCTCACTCAAGGTCGACCCAAGTCATACCGTCAGTGGCGGCTTGGGTGGAAAATATTTTTGATGGGGCTGTTGATATAGTGAGTAAAAAAAATGTTTTTGGGGAGGAATTACCCCTTAAATTGGGACTGATACCGTCATATACCGTATACCACGGTATGATGTCAGCAAGGTATGACGGTATGAAAAAAATGATACCGCCCATGCCTAGTTGATAATGTATCTGTGGACTTTGAAGCAAATTGTTTATAATCCATAATTCCATTTGTATGTAAAAATCGGAGCACAAAAGTTAGCTGCTAATGGTAGCCACCAGAGTGTATGCAGATTCCGGTTTTGGCTACGCGTCACTCTCACTCCTTATTTGTTCATGTGTTGGTGTGTGTGTACAACTTCCCCTCAATTCCATTGGCTCTAGCGGTTATAAAGAGATTTCATTCGTCAAAATCGACCAAGGGGGGCCAGAGATATGGAAAATCCACCCAAATGGCCCCAGAAGTGTTTTTTTTGTTATGCTAAATCTGTCTAAAAAGGTCAAATATCACTTGTTTTGCATCAATCTTGATACAGGGTACTTATATGTTGTACTTTGGATTCCTAAAGCTTTTAGTCTACTAACCCATCATCCAAAGTTAGTTTTCACTATAAGTAAAAAATAATTTTTGGACGGACACTATAATTTACAGTTTTTTAACATGTTCAATCTGAATTTTCTTTAAAATAAAAAACATCTATATTGATTCTGACTTTTCTACATCCAACTGACAGGTTTATCATTACTTTGAGAAAAAAGATTATTAATTTAACCCTTTTAGAAGGGAAGATATGGTCATTTGTTCTGGGAATGTCATTTTCGAGCCTGAGACCTGAAAAAGAGGCTCAGTGCTTAAGTAAGTAAATTAACTCAAACACGTCATTTTACAATTATTTTGCTGCTTGCTACAAAAGGAAAACTTGCGCGGCTCTCATGTCAGGGGTACTTGAGAGAGTGACATGCAGGCTCTGCATGCACAGCAAACCACCAATCACAATAATTCTTGATCAGATCCCAGCAGGCCCCGACCCGCTAGTTTGCAGACCATCAAAACACCAGTAAAAAATGAGCGAGGCACAGGAGGACAATACCTTCATCCGGTTAAATATAGTTAAAAAAAACGCAATATATATTGCAGGGGGGAAAAAATCTTAATGTCCGTTTTTTTCAATATCGTGCAGCCCTACTGTATTAACATACTTTTATTTCCTTTCATATTTCTTCTGTTACTCCTCCTATTGTTATTAGTCTTTCTTTTTTGGGGGATCATCATGTTATTTTGGAACTACAGTTCTACAGGGATGCTGCCATGGAGTCAGCTGCAGACTAAATCTTGAGCACTGTTTTTTACATGTTGGCAAACTGGCACCATTAAGTATAACAAATGAGTTAGTAATCTCCTGTTTTTGGTGTACCCATGTTTGTAGAGATAACTGGATAATTGTACTAAAGACAACTTTAAAAAGATCTGAAGTTATAAAAAGAAGCATCATTTTGTTATGTTTTCTAACTGGATATATGGACATGTATTCATTAATATTCAAAAGATGAGGATACATGAGTGAAAAGTCACATTCAATCTAAAAGTATGTGCATCGTGCCTATATGTTCAGATTTGATGGACCAAAGTACTTTTAATATTGGCATTTATCCGTTCTCTTCTCACCGTAGAGCAGTCCTCTCCTCAGCCTCCCGCTGGCGCCTGGCTCTCTGTCCCTCCTCCTCATTGCCTCCTCAGCGGCAGCCCGGGCGCTAGGCGACAGCTCCGAAAGATCCTCGTCATCCAGGTCCAGACCCTCCGCCTCGTACTGATCCAGCGCCGGGATGGCTCGGTAATCCCTGAACAGAAGAAAAAAAAACATGTTAGCATCAAACAATGAAAAAACATTAAAGCAAATCCATTTGAACAAGTCCTTCCACGTCTTGCTCACCTCTCCATCCCGTCCCCGATCAGCTCCTCTCCGTCCCCATCTTCCTCCTCCTCCACAGGCACTGCTTCATCTCCCAGCAGCCCCTCAGACTCGTCCTCGAAGGGTGGCAGGTCTCGCCCCGGGCTGGAGGTCATGTCTCCTCTCCGGGAGGCTCTGCTGGGGCTGGTGGCCATGTGGAATGACTCAGAGGAATCCTAACAACACAAAATAAAAACAGGTTAGTCCGACTACTATTAACTCATGATTAGATTACCGTGTTTTACTGGGCACCATTATTTTACAGTTTACCTTCAATTAGCTGTTCAGCCATTCAGCTTCTATTGCCAGGTTTTATTTCAATCGTATTTGACTATTTATTGCTATCTGTTGTGTTTTTTTAACCCTGCCCCCCTTAGTGTTCTTTTCTCTTGTGTTGTTAATGAGCTGAACTTAACAGAGGAGAAATAGTAATAATTCATTACAATGATCAAAATATCAGCTTATCTTAGATTAAACTTCCACCTGTAGTTAGTTTATTGCTTCTGAAATCCAAATTATTTATGTATTAAAATATGTTTGTTTTGTACATTTACAACAGACCCCATCTATGCTTTTCCAAAGGCAGAACATGCATTCTAAACATTAGAATGTTTGTGGCATGGTGCAAGCCATCTTTCCCCATACCTCATTATAAAAACTGGACTGATTTAAACACAATTATGCATGCATGTCTAACACTGGCTGTCATGAATGGATTGCAAGTTACTCGCTCACTTTTAATTATATGTGTACCTTTTGTGCTCAATTAGTTGTCTCTCTAATGATTGAGTTCACTGAATATTACCATAACATTTAACTTAATACAAGACGAAAATCCACAACAAAAATGTTACTTGCAGGAAGCTGTTGCAGCGTCCTACCTCCTTATATATTAGGGTGTTTTTTTGTTCTCATAATATCACATATCAAAAATATGTCATAATAACCGATAGAGATAAAAGAAACAATGCCTTGCAGCCATGTGATAAAAACCACAAATCACAATATTGCACAATGAATAATAAAAGATGGGTAATTTAAAGTGTCATTAACTAGCCTAATTTAACATTACATGATATAAATGATCACACAAGATAAGTTCTATTTTACAACACATTTTAGCAGAAAACATGATATTATTCATCTTATTTCCGTTATTTTGTTAAGCATTCGGTTATTTAAAAATGTACTTTTTATGTTGTCTGTAAGGTTTGCTCCATAAACCATGAACACCTAAACTGACATTCTATATATACATTTTCAGGAACAAAAAACTCAACAGCCACATGGCAGGTCTTCTTTAAACAGCAAGAGGACAATCAACAGCCATTAGCATTAACACACTAATAATTGTTCATTATAGCAACAATGAAAATGGGACTGAATACGATAAATAATTCAAATTCAGATATCTTGATTTAAAGCGATATTCAATTCAGTCTTCTGAGCAAACCGAAGCCCTAAGCATCTGTCATTGTTGTGATGCAGACAAAAGCATAAATGTCAAACGTCTAAAGAGTAGAAAACTCAACCTAAAAACTTCCATCTGTTTAATATAACATCGTGCTCCTTTAGTAATGTCATTAGACTCTATAATGAGCCGTTTCATTCGCTTTTTGCATAGTTTTAACTCACCGCCATTGTTCCGCGTCTATTTCTCTCTGCTTCTTGTAAAGAAACGTCTTCTTCTTCTTCCTGCCGGGAGTCACTTTTCGCGCGAAAAGACCATGTGACGCTCAAAGCCCGCGAAAATGAATGAATATTCAAATACAGTGCTGACGCTTCATCTCTCTATTGGTCGAGTTGTTTGAAAGGGGCTGGGCTTTAAAGAAAGTGCGTTTGGTTTGGTCAGCGCCATATAGAAAATGGCGCTGGGTTTGGTCTACCAAGCACTGAGCTTTGTTTTTGTGGCGTGAGGATGAAGTCTGAAAAAGCCATGGGCCAAATCTTAAAACAAACGCACCCTTCTCAGAGCGTGTTGGGCTGGGGCGGAGTTTGTGATGTGTCTTTTTTCCCGGGAATATTTGGGCCGTGTACGATTCCGTTTCACTCAAACGGATGGCCACGTCCAAAACAATTTTGTCTTTACTGCAGTTTTTTTCTCAGTTAAAAACAAATCTGTAATCACAAAACATTGTCTGCTCATTAAGATGCTATTCTATACAAATGCATTTGAATTGTGGCCAACTGTGCAATAATTACAGCAGCTTGCTGCTGTCCAGTAGATGTTGAGGTATTTTACAGTAGCTATAAGTAAAATCCTTTATTTAAACAGTCTATGGAATAAACTACTCTCCACAAACATTTTAACCTTAAAAAACCTAACTAATAAGTATTTTAATAATAAGGTGATGAACGCACAGAACATGTAGATCATTCTTCTATGGGTTTAAATCTCCGAAATGTGCTAAACGTGGCTGGTTATTATCACATTTTTATTTTGGTGTGAAATGCTGCTATAATTCACTCCATATTTTTTATTTTGCATGAATGTGATCAAAAATGATAGTAAAATGGTTGAAAAAGACACATATACATCAGTACTGACAACAGGAGACCAAATACCAACACCTCAAATTTAATAATCATTATTTATGACATGTTCACTCATTCATCAAATATAACATAGCCCCTTTCAAACCTTGCATTTTAATATAAGTAACAAAACAAAAATAATATATATACAGTATCAAAACAGTAGAACTCCTTTTTCTTAAAATAAAACAAAAGAATCAAATGAAACAAATTAAATATATTTGCAAAGTCTTAGTGCATCAAATAAATAAATATCATAAATGACTTTTCACTCATCGGTATCAAAGTGGTTTTAAAAAACGTGTATCTTTGTAAGTGATTCTCAGTTATAAATGTTGATGTTCTTGTACAGTAATCCGAAATTCATTTCCCATGAAAACAAGTTTACAATAAGAAGCCTTTTTGCTCGTTGACGTAGAAATGATTTGAGTGGGTCTTTTTATGTGAGATTTCTTGTGACATATAATTATTTTCACAATTATCAAAAAGGAAAACATTAATCTGTAAGCAATCTTTACAACAATTTTTCCAGGCAGGTTAAGGCTTATTTTAAGGGTGTGGGAATGTAATCCATAAAGAAAGATTTAGTAAATGTATGTCAGGAGCTTCTATTCAAGGCAGACATTTTTCATTTAGAGCAAATGAATACATTGACAGAAATATTATACTATTTAAATTAACTATTGCATGAATCCATTAATCATTTCAGATATGTTCCCAAAGTGAAGCATTTCCAATATTCTCGTACTATAGCCTATCAATTGAGAGTTCCTGCTTTTCTTTGTCTTATATGAATGTACTGTAAACTTGTGTTTTTATAATTTTAATTGACCAAGACAGCTGAAGTTTTTACATGTATCTTTTTACCCTTTCAGACTAAATGCTTATCTACTAATTGATAACTAGTTAATTAATTAGATTAGTGTTTTCTTTTTTTCACATTCAATGTTGTCTTTGTCAGGTAATAGGAACTTTTAAAAAAACTTCTTTAGACAAATTCTCAGTTTTGAAACTATTACAGTTAAAGGAGTGTTGTTATGTACCATGATGAAGTTAGAGTTAGTTTTTACTTGGTATTGAATTTCTTCACTAGGTATTAGAAGAAAGACAGCTGTAAGATTGTAAAAAAGATTGTAAAAAAAAAAAATTGTTTAGAAATAGAGGGACAACAGAGATAAATGGACATTTTTAGACACCAATTCTCAATCTTTCCTAATTAAAATGTATATGGGAAAGCTTGATGTCCGGAATGATCCAAACAGAGGCCGGTTCCCACATTTTCATAGTATTTAAAGAAAAAAAGGGCTTCAAAATAAAATCCCCAGCAACACGATTGACGTTTCCCTACAGGAGAAAAAATGATGCGTAAAGTTGTTGCTTCAAAAGAAAAAAAGCCGTCCAAAATGAGGAGTGTCAAAACAAGATTATTTTGAAAGGCTTCATAATAAAAGCCATCCTTCCAGGGCGCAGCTTCCAAAGTAAGGCGCTCCAGAGGAGGAATAGTAAAGAGATGTTTAGTTGGTGTTGTTTGTTTCACATGGCAGGAGCAAGATTTCTACATCCCATCTCAGAATCTCAGTCATGTGACATGTTGTGGCTTTTTTTGCATATGAGGTTGAATCAGACACACTTTCTGCATTTGTCTGAAGGTTCTGTCTGAGCGTGGCTCTGAAAGGCTTTCATCCTCCGCAGCTTGTTTGTTCCCTTTGAGGATAAAAGAGACCCCGAGCCGTTTCTCCCTTCCTGGAGGCTGCCAGCCAGGTGGTGATGTGTTTGTGAATGTGTGTATAGTTATGTGTGTTTTATTTAAGGACCAAGGTAGCCTCAGAGCCATCTTTCCTCTTCAGATACAGTCCATAGCAGAGATGGTGTTCCCTCCTCAAGAAGGCGTAGAAATAATCTGACACCAGCAGAATCTGAGAATAAAAACAATATTTAGAAATCCGCAGCGTGTTTAAGAATGAACTAAATCATGAATAATTAAACAATGAAAAAACTAAATCAGATATAAGTCTCCCAACATCAGTATAAGGAGTATTATTTCAATGAAAAATCAAATATACACCAGTAATTTATAGTAATAATAGAAGAACAAGGACAAGAAGAAAACCAGTTACAACATCTACACAGTACATCTGTATTCTTCATGGAGCAGCCCACAGGTAGCAGCTTAGCACAAAGGCATGAGAAAAAGCTAGCCTGGCTACACCTTAAGGTTACAGATCCACCTTGCAACAAGCATCCCTAAAGCTCAAACGATTAAAATGTTATAACTTGTTTGTTTAAAAGCAACAACTTGCTGTTTGAGTGCTCCCCCCCGCTCCCCCCCTACCTGTGCCACGTTAAACAGCAGTGTGATGGCGTAGTAGAAGTTGGAGTTGGCGCTGCCGGCATAGATCCAGAGGTGCCAGAGAACCGGGAACAGAGCGGAGCAGGTGAGCAGCACGCAGCACACCAGGAAGATGTTCCTCAGGACTGGACAGGAGCACAAACCACGACAGTTATGGGTTTTACTCCAATCTTAACCTTATTTTAGGTCTCATTTCAATGCAAATATGTGTTATTTGGCATAAAAGCAGTGGTTTGTAATATTGAAACATAAAAAGTTACATAAATATTCTCTCCTTAAAATCCAATTAATCATTTTGATAAATCAATTGTGATCTCAATATTGATTAAAACTATTAATAAAATCAAGATTATGTCGACATGTCTGCTGGTGCTTTGTATATTTTTACTTTGTGTACTGAGCGTGTTTGACTTTGGATTGATTCCATTTGATCTAATTTCAGGTTGTAGCTTGAGTGTGCTCCGTGCAGCGGTGTTATTTAGGCTAATAAAAGTATTGGATCAGAGTATCGGATTAGAACCAGGGCCAGAAAAACTGTATCCAGACATTTCTAGTTTCTAGTTAAGCGTTAGCATGTTAACTTTAATCTAATAAAGGTGAAAACCAGGCAGTGAAAAGAAGTGAGCACTAACTGAAGAAGTAATGTATGTATTTACTCACATCTGTGCAGGTGACTCCACACAGGCAGGAAGGCCATGTAGAGAGCGATGTCTCCCACAGTGGGGTAGGACTTAAAGATGGAGATCACAGCCAACTGCATGAAGATGAGAAACACTGGATGCTCCCTGTAACCAAAACACACATTTGAGAGGATTGAAGTTAAAGATAACAATTGAAAAAGACAAACTGCAGCGTTTTATTCACTTGTAAAGGACGGAGGACTTACTTGAGTTTGATGGACAGAGGGATGGTGTAGAAGAAGACATTGATCTGGAAAACGCAGAGGAAGAAGAGGCGGAAGTGTTCAAACATCTCAGCGAAGAAATACCAGAAGAGGCCGATGTTGGGGGTCAGGTCCGGAACTGAGAGGCTGGAGGGAGGGGGAACTCATGGTCGGATCATACAAACATCTGACTTGTGATGCCTACTCTGTACTAAGAGGGACATTTAACAGTCAAATAATCAACTTTCTTTTCTCAGAAGAAGTAACAGAGCTCAAATAAATGTAATTCTCAGACAATAAGTTAGTTTGAAGACTCTCTTCAGTCTTGCTTTACAAAGTATTTCAGTTTCTGGGCATAATATAAACAATTGTATGTCTTGTTAATGTTAATAACGACTCACATGAAGCCGTAGACAGACGGCAGGAAGTCCCAGGAGCCGAGCAGGAAGAAGGAGAGGCAGACGATGACGAAGAGGCTGCCCAGGTACATGAAGGCGTACTGAACGATGAACCACCAGAAGCTGGCACGCCTGAAGTTCACCGGGATGTACTGACGCTGGAGGAGATGCACAAACATGGAAATGTTCATTAAAAAAAGCATTCATTTAGAAGTTTGCATTCAATTTGTATTTTTTTTTTAAGGAAAAAAGGGCAAAGACATGATGAGAAGGAAAAGACTGGGGATTTCTTTTTTATGTGTATAGCACAGGGGTCGGCAACCCCTGGCACGCGTGCCAGCATTGGCACGCGGCACCGTAACCAGTGGCACACTAGGAATAAGTGGAATAAACGTGCAATAATATTTGAATTGTATTTTCGGATCCTGAACGAGACCGCCGCCAGAGCGCGTCTACCTGCAGAAGCCATGCACGCAATGCAGCCCCGCTGACTTTCTGCCGCTTTCCTCCGTGGTGCAGTGCTGATCGTTTCACCACAGAGGAAAGCACTTTACTAATTGCAGTAGGAGGACATAAGGAGCTGTACAAATGCCGCAGTTTTTGCGTGGCTGTGTCTTTAGTTGAAAGCCCAGTGGCGATCTGCTCATCGAAATAATATGCTACAAAGGGGAGGACTGGCCATCTGTGTGTTGAACTTTCCTGTCGGCTCCCAGACCGTAGTCGAGGAGGGCAGCAGCAACAAGGTTCAATAACCCACTTTAGCTTAAATGACTGGAGAGAGGCGAGCTCTTCTTGGGAGGCCGTTGCATTTATTTAGCTGTTCTTCTGTTTCACAAAATACATCACAGACCTCTGTTTTTCTGCAGCCTCGTTTCACTTCCAGAAACATACACACGTTCCCCCCTCACTGTCGCTCTGCCATCCACACAGACACATGCACAAGCCACACCTCTCTCTCTCTCTCTTAAAGGGACAGCGATCTCATCTCACTCTGCATGACCCTAATATCATAACATGTGTGTTCTGGAGAATCACAGAACGGACGATTGTCCTTATTATTATGCCGTTTAAACCAATTATTTAAATGTGTTTGTTAAATTCGGCATCGTGTAAGTTGCGACACTGCTCCCCCGCAGCGAGGCTCCCCCGCCCTCCTGCTGATAGTTGACGAGCGTCAAGCTCCTCAACCCCACCCC